CACAGAATAAAAGAAACCAAGTTCCAACTAAACAGATAGAATAATTAGCAGGAAAAGGTCAAGCAATTTAAAATATAAACATTAAATCAATAATGAAAAATATAACAAAATAAAATAATTTAATTTATGCGCAATAATGATCTACACAATTTAAAAATATAATCTTTTATATTTAGCCTGTGTACACACTCGTCACCTTGTGTACACGACTTTCCACATATTACAATTATCAATCCTAGGGAAAATTTTGCTACACAAAGTTAGACAAGTCACTTACCTCGACTTGCTCCAATTTAACCAAGTAGTATGCCTTTTCCTCGATTTTTCGACTCCGATCGACTCGTATCTAGTCATAATTAATTCGATACAGTCAGCAAAAATTATAGGAATTAATTTCATAAAAAAATACTATATTTTTCAATAAAATCCGAAATTAGCTAAAAATTATCTGTGGGGGACACCTCTTGGAATCCGCACAAAACTTATAAAATCCGACAACCCATTCAATTACGAGTCCATCCATACCAATTTCACTCAAATCCGACTCCGAAATCTCAAAAATTCGTTTCTATGAGATTTCTAAAATTTTCCCAAATTTCCATCTCAATACACTAATTAAATGGTGAAAACAATGATATATTCGTATATATTGACCAAATCCGAGTTAAAATCACTTACCCAAATGTTTCTCCTTGAAAATATGCCAAAAATCGCTTCTGCTCAAGCTCAAGTTCATCAAAAATGACAACTCGGGACGAAATCCCCAGTTTTATAAACTGCCGAGGCAGCCATCGATCCTGGGTATCAATCATGGCTTCAATCTTTATGGCCCTCGATCCTGGCCTCGGTCATAGCCCTCTATCCTGGGCCTCGATCCCTAACCCTCGAGCCTTGCCTTCGATCATTGCCCTCGAGCTGGGCATTCGATCATGGCTCTTGAGCTGGGTATTCGATCATGCCTTCGATTCTGCCTTCGATCATGGCCCTCGAGCTGGGCCTTTGATTTTGCCTTCGATCATGGCCCTCGAGCTGGGCCTTCGATCCTGAGCCTCGTCCCTGGCTTCGACCCTGGCCTTCGACCCTGGGATCGATGTCTGGGCTTGATTTCTGCACTTAGAGTAGAAGAAAAATTGCAGTAATTTTTTAAGTCCAACTTTTGATCCGTTAACTATCCGAAACTTACCCGAGGCCCTCGGGACCTCAACCAAATACACCAACAAGTCCTAAAATATCATACGAGCTTATTTGAAACCTCAAATCACATAAAATGACGCTAAAATCACGAATCATGCTCCAATTCAAGCTTCATGAAACTTAGAATTTCCAACTTCTACATTCGATGTCGAAACCTATCAAATCAAGTCCGATTGACCTCAAATTTTGCACACAAGTCATAAATGATATAACGGAGCTATAATAATTTTCGGAACTGGATTCCGATTCCGATATTAAAAAGTCGACTCCACGGTCAAACTTCCAAACTTAAATTTCTATTTTAGCCATTTCAAGCCTAATTTCACTACGGGCTTCCAAATTAAATTCCAATCATGCTCCTAAGTCCAAAATCACCATACGGAACTGTTGGAATCATCAAAATTCTATTTCGGGGTGGTTTGCACATAATTCGACATCCGATCACTATTTGAACTTAAACATTTAATTTTTCATCAAAATTTCATATCTCGGGCTAGGGACCTCGGAATTTAATTTCGGGCATACACCCAAGTCCCAAATCACGATACGGACCTGCTGAAACAGTCAAAATACTAATCCGAGTCTGTTTGCTCAAAATGTTGACCAAAGTCAACTCAATTGAGTTTTAAAGCTCTAATTCACATTTTAATCCATTTTTCACATAAAAGTTTTTCGAAAAATTTTACGGACTGCGCACGCAAGTTGAGAAATGATAAATAGTGCTTTTAGAGGTCTTAGAATACAGAATTAATTATTAAATTTAAAGATCACATTTTAGATCATCACAAGTTAATAATTAGTTACTTAGTTAATAACTAGTTATTGGTTATTATTTTTGAATTTAAATATCTAAAAAGTAATAAAATAAAATAATTTATAATAAAAAACGAAAATTAAACAAAACAGTCCATTTAAATTGGAGAATAGTTTCAAGTTGAAGTTTTTAAATTATTTTAAAATAAAAAACAAAAATTACAAAAAATAAAAAACTGCCAATTCAAAATTTCTTTGTTTTGTATAATAATTTTTGTTTTTATTTTTAAAAATAAAAAGTTTCTTTATTCAGAAAATATTATTGAGAGTAATAAAATAAAATATAAAATAAAAACATATTATCTTCTATTATATTATAAAAAGAAAGTAGCATACAAAAATTTAAATAAAGTAATATGCTAATAAAAGTTTCTATTAACAATGCAATAATACTAATTATTGGATAATATAATAAAGAAAAATACCGAACAAGCCTATTATTCGATACATATATAAGTCTCATTATAAGTAGTTATTAATTAGTTAATGGTTATTATTTTTGAATTTAAATATCTATAAAATAATAAAATAAAATATTTTATAATAAAAAAAGAACATTAAAACAAAACTGTTCATTTAAATTGGAGAGCAGTTTCAAGTTGGATTTTTTAAATTATTTTAAAATAAAAAACAAAAATTACAAAAAATAAAAAACTGCCAATTCAAAATTTCTTTGTGTTTTTTTAATAATTTTTGTTTTTCTTTTTAAAAATAAAAAGTTTATTTATTCAAAAATTATTATTGAGAATAATAGAATAAAATATAAAATAAAAACATATTATCTTCTATTATATTATAAAAATAAAATAGCATACAAAAATTTAAATAAAGTAATATGCTAATAAAAATTTCTATTAACAATGCAGTAATACTAAATATTGGATAATATAATAAAGAAAAATACTGAATAATAGAGATTTTATTCATTAAAATTCAGAAAATATTATTGAGTATAATAGGATAAAATTAAAATAAAAAAAATATTTCAAGAATAATAAATATATATATTCTATTATATTATAAAAAAAAATATTAAACAAAGTAATATGCTAATAAAAGGTTCTATTAACAATGGAATAATACTAAATATTAGATAATGTAATAAAGAAAAATACAGAACAAAAAAGTTATTCAATGACTATACAACTCTCTTTAATTTAATAGAGATTTGATTCATTAAAATTCAGATGATATTATTGAGAACAATAGGATAAAATTTACAAATAAAAAAAAATATTTCAAGAGTAATAAAATATAAAACTTCTATTATATTACAAAAAAAGTAGTAGACAAAAATATTAAACAAAGTAATATGCAAATAAAAATTTCTATTAACAATGTAAAAAAACTAAATATTGGATAATTATAATAAAGAAAAATATAGGACAAAAAAGTTATTCAATAACTATAGAGCTCTCTTTAATTTAATAGAGATTTTATTCATTAAAATTTAGATGATATTATTGAGAACAATAGGATAAAATTTAAAATAAAAAAATATTTCAAAAGTAATAAAATATATATCTTCTATTATATTGCAAAAATAAAATAGTAAACAAAAATATTAAACAAAGTAATATTCCAATAAAAGTTTTTATTAACAATATAAAAATACTAAATATTGGATAAATATAATAAAGAAAAATACATAATAAAAAAGTTATTCAAAGACTATATCACTATACACGTGTCTTTAATTTAATAGAGATTTTATTCATTAAAATTCAGACAATATTATTGAGAACATTAGGATAAAATTTAAATTAAAAAAATATTTTAAATTAATAAAATATATATCTTCTATTATATTACAAAAAGAAAGTAGTCGACAAAAATATTAAATAAAGTAATTATGCCAATAAAAATTTCTATTAAAAATGCAAAATACTAAATTTAGGATAATATAATAACAAAAATCTAGAACAAAAAAGTTATTCAATGAATACACAACTCTCTTTAATTTAATAGAGGTTTTATTCATTAAAATTCAGACAATATTATTGAGAATAATAGGATAAATTTTAAAATAAAAAAATATTTTAAGAGTAATAAAAGATATATTTTCTATTATATTACAAAAAGAAAGTAGTAGACAAAAATATTAAACAAAGTAATATGCTAATTAAAGTTTCTATTAATAATGTAAAAATACTAAATATTAGATAAGTATAATAAGGAAACATATAGAACAAAAAAGTTATTCAATTACTATACAAGTCTCTTTAATTTAATAGAGATTTTATTCAATAAAATTCAGACAATATTATTGAGAACATTAGTATAAAATTTAAAATAAAAAAATATTTCAAGAGTAATAAAAAGTATATCTTCTATTATATTACAAAAAAAAAAGTAGTAGACAAAAATATTAAACAAAGTAATATGCTAATAAAAATTTCTATTAACAATGCAATTATATTAAATATTGGATAATATAATAAAGAAAAATACATAACAAAAAAGTTATTGGATGACTACGTAAGTTTCTTTAATTTAATAGAGATTTTATTCATTAAAATTCAAATAGTATTATTGACAACAGCAGAATAAAATTTAAAATAAAAAATATTTCAACATTAATAAAATATATATATATCTTCTTTTATATTACAAAAAGAAAGCGAGCAGAAAAAATATTAAACAAAGTAATATACTAATAATTTTTTTTATTAACAATGTAAAAATACTAAATATTGGATAATAGAATAAAGAAAAATATAGAACGAAAAACTTATTTAATGACTATATAAGTCTCTTTAATTAAAAATAAATTTTATTATTGGGTATATCATATTAATAAATAAAATGATAATTAAAATTTATTAAAGTAATACGATATAATATGTTCAAACAAGTCATATCATAATTTAATTTAATTAATATTTTTTCATATTGACGGCGCCGATGGATAGGACTACTAGTTTACATAGTGACATGGGACTTATAAAGTCGCAATGACCTTTAAATCGCCATCAAAACCCCATTCTGTAAAAAGGCGACTAATATACACACTTTACAAACAAATTGTTACTCTTCACCAACAAGTTTCCAGCAAAATTATGCACAAATTACACCTTAGAGAGATTCCTTAGCCATTGAAGATGGCGAGAAGAATTTCTCTGTGTTACTTTCGCAACTGTACTCCCTTTATCTCTTTCCTTACAATCAGAGCTTATTGTTCATCTCAAAGTATTACATCTATTTCATTAAAGGGTAAACTCGGGGTAAATACCAAGTTTGAGAACGTCAATTGTTTAGATGATGCTGTAACTCTCTTCCATGAAATGGTCAGAACACATCCTTTTCCTTCTGCTGTATACTTCACTAAATTATTTAAGACTATGCTAAATATGAAGCATTACTCTGCTGTTGTTTCTCTTTTTGGAGAAATGCAAAAAATTGGTATTCCTATTAATGGATTCATATTGAGTATGGTGATTAATAGTTATTGCTTGATGCATCGTGCTGATTGTGGATTTTCGGTGTTACCCATTTACTTGAAGAATGGCATTCCATTTAATGTTGTTACTTTTAACACACTGTTAAGGGGATTGTTTTCTGAAAATAAGGTCAAAGATGCAATTGAATTGTTTAAAAAGTTGGTGAGAGAGAATATTTGTGAGCCCGATGAAGTCATGTATGCAACCGTCATCAATGGGCTTAGCAAAATGGGCCATACTGAAAAAACTTTAAGTTTGCTCCGGTTAATGGAACAAGGGAACACTAAGCCCGACATATGGATCTACAGCATTGTCATAGATGCACTTTGTAAAGATAGAAACTCAGATGCTGCTATCAAACTTTTGAACGAGATGAAGCAGAAAGGCATTCCTCCTAACATAGTCACATATAGTTCATTAATTGATGGTTTGTGTAAGCTTGGTCAGTGGGAAAAGGTTAAGACATTGTTCTCTGAGATGGTGAACCTTAATATTTATCCAAATGTGCGCATCTTCACCGTGGTGATAGATGGACTATGCAAAGAAGGGAGAGTCGACGATGCTGAGGAAGTAATGAAACACATGGTCGGAAAAGGTGTAGAGCCTGATATTTTCACCTACAATGTGATAATGGATGGATATTGTTTGTGTGGTCAAGTGGATAGAGCAAGGAGAATTTTTGATTTCATGATAGATGAGAACATTGAACCTGGCAGTATTAGCTATAGCATACTAATAAATGGATACTGTAAGAAAAAGAAGTTGGCTGAGGCCATGCAATTGTTTCATGAAATTTCTCAAAAGGGATCAAAACCTAATGTTTTTACCTACACTACTATCTTGCAAGGCTTGTTTGATGTTGGAAGAATTGGCTCCGCAAAAAAGTTCTTTGACGAGATGCTATCTACAGGGCCCATACCTGATTTATACACTTATGGCACTTTGCTCAATGGTTATTTTAAGTATGGACTTGTTGCAGAAGCTATATCACTCTTTAACGAGTTGGAAAGAAAGAGAGAAGATGCTGATATTGAATTTTACAATGTTGTCATTAATGGTTTGTGCAAAAATGGTAAACTCGATAAAGCTCTTACTATTTTTGAGAAGCTTTCTTCAATTGGATTGGTTCCGAATGTGAGAACATACACTACAATGATAAATGGATTTTGTCTTAAAGGGTTGTTAGACGAAGCTAAAGATATGCGAAGAAAAATGGAAGGTAATGGTTGTTTGCCAAACAATGTCACTTACAATGTTATTGTGCAAGGATTTCTCAGGTGCAGTAGAATTAGTGAAATGAGAACTTTCATGAAGGAAATGGCTGGAAGAGGCTTCTCATTTGATGCAACTACAACCGGCTTTTTGGTAAATGTTATTAGGGAGAATCCTTCTGTCCTTGACATGATACCGGAGTTTCACTTGAAAACTAAGAAGTGAATATTTCTTTCGCTTGGTTTATTCGGCTACGCTATTGCTATGGTACAATTTTCTTTTTATCCCTGCATAAGAAATAGCATTTAATGCAATTGCAGAAGCTGATGGCAATTATAATTTGCTTGAGCTGTCTAGGCACGCCTATTGAGGAGGTACATCAATTTTGATATTTTGATTTTTTTCCTATCTTCTTTTTCTTAGAAATCAATTGTTATTGCGCTCTTAATATGATAAATAATGGTGAGTAATACCGATAAAAAAAGATGAGTTCCCTTATGTGTATGCGTTATAGGTCTACTAATATCATCTTCAGTTATTTAGTTGTCCTTTTTTTGGGGTTATTCAGGTAGAGTATCATTTTCTATTTCTTTTTGAGAATCAATAACAACTGCCTGTGACTTAGAAATTGCTATGGAAACACTTTTCTGTAGTTTCTAAATTCGTCGTTATATCATCCATTAATGGAACACTAGAGCTGACAAGATCAACCCCATCCTTTTGTTCATTAACCATATAGTATGAATTATTTTGGTTTTCTTGGCATTGAACTGAAAATTGTTCAAACCTGACAGGATATACTATAGATGGATGGTCAACATCATATTAAAATTATTTAAGAATATATTTTTGGAAGTTTTTATATGAGCCAAGAGTACTGGATGCTTATTGGGAATTGACATTCTCATAGAACAGTAATATGTAAATGAACCGCTGCTGAAATTGGATGCTATCTCTCTCAATGATCAGGTTGCTGACTCACTGTGGTGGAAGCTTCAGAAAGACGGCGAGTTTACTGTAAAAATATGTTATAAAAATCTTTTGACGAATATGGGAGGCACTCAAAAAGGACTGGCCATGGAAAACAATTGCAGCCCTGAGAGCCACCTGTTTCACTTGGATCGCTACTCACGAAGCTTGTTTAACCATGACAACTGAAAAAAGGTTTCGTTTTGTGCAACGGATGCTTTCTGTGTGAAAATGCCAATGAAGCAGTAAATTATCTACTGGGTCACTGTACCTTTTCTAGACAGATCAGGACAATGCTTTTGCCATTTTTGGTGTCCAATGGGTCGTGCCAGGATGCATTAAACTCTCAGCAGCTGGTAATCTGGTACGAGCAGTCTTCATCAAGGGACAACAGGCATACTGGACTGCTATTCCTTCCTGCATTTTCTGGTCTATTTGGATGGAGAGGAATGATAGATGTTTCAATGACAAGAGTAGCAAGAATAAAAAGGTATAGCGAGAGTGGATCACCTTGTCTTGGACCCTTTTAGAAGAGGGAGAAAAAAATTCTACAGTACCATTGACGATGATAGATACTCTAACAGTAGTAATACAATACTTTATCCTTTACAATACTTTGACAATGTAAACTGGGAATTCTTATCCAGGCTAATGGTTATGGTATTTGGAGCCAAAAATTATCCTCTGAAATTTTTCGTAACTCATGGTAGTGGGATATAAAAATGTTTCTTTTGTGTATAGGAATTCGAGAAATGGTGCCTCACGGTTGGAGTGAGTTCTTTTCTTCCTTTATTATACTGTAGAACTGTTTTATTCGGTTTCTCTACTTATCCAAGGATGATAGCTAGGCGTGGTTGTTGAAGAATGAAATGGGTCCTAATAGGCTAATAGAGCAGAATAGATGTAAAGGATTCATGTAGCCAATCCCAACTAATTTGGGATTGACATGTAGTAATTGTTGTTGTAGTATTTGATTGTTGAAACAAAAAGTAAAGAGAACAGAGTGAGATCCCTGGGTTTTCAGGAATAGAACTATCATTACAGAAGATTCCTTCTCATGACTTAAGGAACCATTTGGCCCTTTCGTTCTCTTTATGGTTTCTGAAAAGGGGAAGGAGAGAAATAACAAAGAGAAAACTTTAAGAAAAATAAATACTAAAAATGGAAGCACAAGCACTCTACTGCTACATGTCTAAGGGGTGGTGGCCGCGTTTATTAGATTTCTTCTGCGATCTATCAATACATTGACCAGTTATCAACTTGTTTTCTTCTTCTTTTCTCTTTCGCTTCCCTGGAAAAATTCAATCTTTCTTATTAATGTCTGTTAGTATTAGACATTAGAGTTTTAATAAATTGATGGAAAAATGTTTTTAGTTTTTATTTTAATTTGATGTTGCAGTAAATTTAAAATCTTGTGGTTAATGATGGACTTGATTGATTCAATCACAATATTCAGAAGGAGAACATTTCTACAAAAGGATTTCCCTATAATATAGCGGTTTTCTTAATTTATGGATCAAAAAATAATTTCTAAAAGTTATATCTTCTTGTTGAATATTTTCCCTTATGTTGTCTTAATCCTCTACTTAGTTTTTACATTTGGTGGATCTTTTGTGGGGTACTTGAAGTAAAGGTGCTTTATGTTGTAGAGAATTGTTGGTTAAAAAGGGTTAGACCCTCTTTAAATGAAAGTAAGTCTAGGACTGTCAATTTCTGTGATCTAAGCTCCTATTGGATTAAATACGAACTGATTATGCGACATATGCAGTTTTAGTCTTTAGTGCAAGACATTAGGCTGCTAATGTATCCAAGTTGAACTGTTATCTGTCTAAATCCAAAATATGGTGTTCTTATACAAAATGCAAGGAGTTCAAGCAATTGTTTTTCTTGGAAATGTACTCAAGAATGCTGTTTTACGACATGTTCACTTAGTGAATCCAGTAAGCGGCCACTTATGCTTCACGTCATGAATCGACTTCAACTGCTCGTATGGAAGAACATGGTTTTGAAAGCACTACATATCTGACATGGTAAAGGCGCTGATGGTTCTCAGCTCTGGTGCAATACAGATGATACTCTGTATGATGCTGTGCAGTCGGCTAGTATCTTCATGCTTTGTCTAAAATAACCTTGCATCTCACCGTTGACATTACACACACAGAAAATTTACATTTATGTATTTATATGCACACTTATGTAATGTTGCTTCTGTAGTGAGAAATTTGAGATAACTGATTGGTTGCTTCGACGCAGATGACACACCATAATATTGGAGTTTTGGTGGTTTTGAGACCCGGGGGAAATGAATCAGTTGCTGGAATAAAGAAGAGGTATCAACCGCTTCTAAAAGATAACAGCTTCTTCTTGACTGGCTTTTAAAGTTGGTCATGCCACCTCTTCACTTTTATATACTAGTTTTGAATATTGAAGTTGTCCTATGATCATGTCTCCATGTGTAGCTCTATCATATTTATCGTTGAAGATATTTAGCATGTATCTAATTTCGTCTGTGTTTAGTTTTCAGTGTGATCATGTCTTGTCTTAAAATTAACCTCGTCTCTAGAATCATTTGAATTCAGCTTTGACTTTTGTTTCTCATTCATGATTGTAATGAAGTACACTTGATGTGTATGAATTTCGTACTGATATCATTTTTGTTGCATTCACTTGCCTTGTCTTAGGCATGTGAATGGAAGAATTATAAGTAAGGCGGCTTGGAACCTTGGCATGAATTTAAAACTCGGAAAATTACTGGTTTTCAGTGGCAATGTCATGATTCCTTGAGTTTCAGTATTATCTCTTTATAAGACTTTGTATTACTATGTGAAAGGAACACACAGACAATTGCCGGGCTGAAATGGAGTGCGGGCTGGATGGGACCTTTAAATAAAAGGGTATTTTTGTTTTGGATTTATTTATTCATTTCTGTAACATTTAGTTTTATTTTAAATTTGAAATTATGTTTAGATTTCTAACTGAAATACCTTTATGAAATAAGATACATTTTCTGGATAGCCTTCTTCAACCTCTATTAATTGTGTCTTCCTTGAAAGTGATTAATCAATTTGCGGTACACGTTTTGGCTTTCTTGTCTCTTGGAAGAAATTTGTCTGTTTTTTCAATACAGTATTTCTTCAAGAACAATAATCTTTAACGTTTCAAATCTTTCTTTCAATTCTGTTTTTCTATTTTTCTGACACGACATGTTACTTGCCAGATTACCGCACCAGGCACATTCCAGTCATTGATCAGAGTGGCATGATAGTATGGTGTCTGTCGGAGATATTATCTATGCTGTTGTAAGTGAGTATAGAGATGAGCTGAACTGTTTAAATGCCAGAAATAAATGGATCATGACCTTTACATTCTTTGAACTCTGAACGATTACAATTTGTTCCAACATAGTAGGAAATGACCTGGCTGATTAGGCTTTTATACACTGTAATATGTTGAGAATAACCTTTCAAAATTAACTTTGTCCTGCTTTTGTACCAACAACCAAAAGTTTTCTTGTATATGCATACCCAAAACCACTATAGAGAGTTGGGTCTAAGACTATGAATCGCAATCAATAATGCAACTTATAATCACAATAGCAAATGCAACGTTAAATCGCCAGTTATAATTGCAAGAATGTGGCTTACAAATTAAGAAATCACATAATGCGACTTATAAATCACAATTATAGTCTGACTTTTATATATCGCAATTACAAAACGCGATTTATAAATCACAATTACAGAATGCGACTTGTTATCTCAATTGCTGAATACCACTTATAAATCGCTTTATGCATTTGTAATCGCAATTGACTTATAAATTGCAATCGGTTTCGACTTCTAAATCGCAATTGTAAATCGTATTTGAGAAATGCTACTTTTAAATCGCAATTGGATAAATTACAAATAAGCAATGCGACTTACAAATCTGTGAGGCACTCTTCATAAACAAGGTTCCTGCAAAATCAGGGCACACGGAGATAGAGCAACTCTTTGGAAAATATTTCAGTGTTACTTTTGCGCAGTACTCCCTTTATCTCTTTCTTTACTATTTCCAATTCGAATTCGGCAACTACAATCGGAGTTTATTTTTCATGTCATAGTATTACATCCATTTCAGTAAAGGGTAGACTTGGGTAAATATCAGTCTCTTTACTGGTAGTTGTTTAATATGACATTTTCTCTAAACAGAATAAGAAGTGTTTCATCTTATTTTAAGAGCATTCTGTGGTTCTTTACGTTGTCTACAATGATTAAATTATAAATTTGTTCCACATAGTAAGAAGTGATTTAGTTGAGGTTCCTAGTTCATATTGTTCATTAGGCTTAACTTCCAAAATTGTGAAAGGGGAGCCTTAGTGCCGTAGAATAAGTTGTTATCGTGTGACAAGGGCGTTATAGATTCAAACAACGGAACCATCTTTTAGAAATAAGTTAAAGTTGTGTACCTAAGACCTAATATGTACCATCTCTTCCTCGGACCCGTGATATCAGTAACTTAATTTCTATACCTGAAATTTGTCGCGAGAGATTGGTTATGGCAGATTTTTGAGCTAATATATCACTTAACCCAATCTTAGTGCAAACATTATTAATTGCGAATTGTATTTATTCAGCCAAGTGATGAAATTTTAAATCTATTTAAGATTAAGCATGGATTCAAACGGTATAAATGAACAACTCTTTAAATCTATTTAAGATTAAGCATGGATTCAAACGGTATAAATGAACAACTCTTTCTTTTATTGATTTGTTAGATCAAAGTTTCTAAAAAAAATACACTGTAATTATCAATTACTTAAAACTAAAAGTCTAGAAATACACTGTAATTATCAATTACTTAAAACTAATAAAAGTTTAGAAAACAAAAATATAACAAAGGACGAAACCCCAAGTTCTTTAAACCTTTATTTGTAATATGGTTAAAATGAAAAAGGTTCAAATTTGTTCATTTATATGTGAAATTGCTCAACCTTTTTTCTTTGTTGGACTTTTAGTCTATTCATATCCTTGCTATTAGAAATAGTGTTGTATTTAGGATATCCTTGTTATTTATATTGATCGAGAATGAAATAGTGGACTTCACATGTCCAAATTCTTCCAGAAAAATTGTCCAAATTTACCTATTAACTTTTGATTATGATTTAAATTACCCGTCAGTTGGATTCACCCCAAGAGCAAGGTGGTGAGTTCTTGGAAGGAAGGATGCCGAGGTTTTTATTGGAAACAGCCTCTCTACCTCATGGTAGGGGTAAGGTCTGCGTACACACTACCCTCCCCAGACCCCACTAGTGGGATTATACTGGGTTGTTGGGGGTAAGGTCTGCGTACACACTACCCTCCCCAGACCCCACTAGTGGTTGCTCAATTTTAAATAGTAAAATGTGAAAATTCCACCCTTTTCACTATAATAAAGTACTCAAACACAAATTATCAAATTACAAGATAGACACAAAATATTACCTAATCCTCATCGTTAAATACTTATTCTCATTCATTATTTATACCAAATCAATGAAAACAAAACGTGTGATTTTTTTCATACACACGTATCACTTACACACTTAATTGTGACTATTAGCTCCCGTTTGGATATAAAACTTGAAAGTTTTCAATTTTTTTTTAAAAACATTGTTTGTTTATGGAATTTGATTAGTTTTTTTAAAAAAAAAATTTAAGATTTTTTTTCAACTTCCAGAACTAGTCGGCCAGTTTTTGGATAAATATATTTGATCCACTCACAAAACTTAAACTTTTTTGAAGTAACAAATGCATGTCCAAATAAAACTTCAACTTTTAAAAATTATTTTTCAACACAACTTTAGAAACTCTTATTTTCAATTTTCAACCAAATCTATGTCCAAACGCTAGCTAAGTGATATGCTCTCTTGTACAAATTTTTAATTACAACTAGTTTTAGTGTATGCACTT